TTTTTTTGCAACTGTAATAGCGTGTATAAGCATGTGTGTATAAAAGCTTGAAATGAATGGTTCTTTAAAATACTAACTGAATGTGTTAAATATCTGCAACAGAATCATATAAAAAAGCACAAAGATAGCAAGAACCTTCACTCCCCTTCAATTCTTAGCTATAGTTGTGTGACAATTGAAAGGGATGATTGACAAGGAAAACATCTGAATGCATTTGAAAAAGACTGTACAGACATGTACAGAGATGCATTTATTTTTCCTGAAAGAAGCACCAAAATGTGCTTAATTTGTACTGAGAAGGTGATTGTTGTGATTGTTAAGTGTGGTAACATTACGCGCCACTATAAATCATCAAAGCACAAACAAATTTACCCACAGAAAATGGAGGTGATTGAAAACAGTAGCCCTGATCTAGAGCAAAGATATGGAAAAGTAATTCAATCTAAAAAAATAAAAAGGGTGATAGGATGTTTGTGACGAGGGTAAACACATGATAAGGACAGAAAGAGTTGAATTAACTTGAAAATTGAATTCATCGCATATCAGACACACGATGAGCAGCCAGTAAAATTTCCCAGGCAGCTGCTGATTCAAAGATTGGATTAAAATTGCAAAAAATTGCAAAAATACAGAGAAATTCCATGCAAAAACAGGCCGTACCCTGCAATATCGCACTACCAGACAGCGGAGGTGGCAAACACTGAGAAATCAACTGGCTTTAGTTGAGCACAGAGAGAAAACAGAAGCACTAATGATAACAATAGACATAATGAGGGACATGCTGTACACAGGGTCAACAATGTTAGTTACTCAAGGTCCAGACTCTAAAAGAAAGCAGGCAGTAACTAACACTACATTCACAACCAATAATAATGTCCAGAAACTGGCAGAAAAACGGCAGTGGTAATGTATCAGTCCCACATGATAGTAGCATAAACAGGAAAGAAATAGAAGCTACAGTATAGGCAGACCAAGGCTAAAGCAGTTCTGCTAATCTGCTTTGCCATAACAAAGTCTGACATAATCTTTAACACAACTTTTAATTTATGACTATTGTTACTAACTTTAGTTTCTGTGTCGTACATACATGTTGTTTGGTTGGTTGCATTATATTGGACAGTTGACAACCCTATTTAAAATTCATCACATGCAATTAGCAAAAATATCTAAAATGAAAAGTAGAAGATTTTTAATTGACAATTGATTGTTCTTCATCGTTTATACAAATGCATATATATATATATAATTTTTTTTGCAACAGTATTGGCGTAGATGCCATTTTGTGGCCCTGTCCCACTGGATGCACTTTTGTTGTGACAGGATTATTTTTGACTATTTATGACTGACAGCCAAAGCATTTCTGTCCGTTTTTATAATGCTATTCAATGCAAAGGATGAGCACAATGCAAATTACAGATTTTAAGAGGACATAAAAAGGACTCACCATAGCACCAGGAGATTGAGATACACTCAAAGAACACCAGAAAGAGCAGACACATTCCACTGGCTGAGTAATAGTCGAAGAGTTTAAACACATAGAGGCCACCCTAAAACAAAGCAAGAAAATCAATACAAGGCCCTGCAGCCTGCAATCATATTAATATACAACCTCTGGTCAAACATCTCATCATCTGCTTCCTTCATTGATTTACCTGCGTGATATTGGACAGCCCAATGGCGTAGGATACAATGCAAACACATGCAATGAAAATCTCTCTTCTTTTCCTGAGCAGCCGTGGGAATTCATCCACCAGAGCAGTGATGAAGCCCTCCACTGTGCAGAACTGAAAACAACATCAACAATGGTGTTTTGAAATTGCATTTATATGGCATTTTTTGAAAACACTGAAGCATTCTGTGAACTGATGGTAGCATGAAGAAAATATAGCAATAGATCACAACACAAAATTAATTTTGTTGTTTTTACACATAAATGGCTCCAGTGTGAAACCAATTTTCAATAATAAATAAATAATAATAAATAATACATTTCGTGAGCATATTAATCGCAACAAACAATTAGGTTACATTCAATAAATCTGTATGCACAGGTTGTGTGTGTGTGTGTGTGTGTGTGTGTGTGTGTGTGTGCATGTGTTTGTTATTACGTAACAATATCCAATCAGAGTTGGTTTTATATGACTTTCCAAAAACAAACACAATTCATTACAGTAAAGGACATAAAACAAGTACTAAATTCTATATTTTTTGGTGCCTCAGGGCTGGGATCGATTCTACCCCCGTTTATTTTGCTAACATTGCAACATTCCCACTATCTCCAGCTTAAGACACAATGAACATCAGTTTAAAATCCTCAATGCATGCAGCCATAAACATCAACATCAAAAGATTTTATTTGGCACAAGGTCAGTTGAGTGTTTTTAATGTTCCTTATGTTTCCTTGTGCGGTCGCCAGGGACTCTGAAGTACCTACCAGATCCCGTTCACTTCTGTTTCTAGGTCAGAGCTTGAATATGTGATATTCTCACCTGACTGTCGATTCCCAGCATCAGCAGCATGGAGAAGAAGAGAATAGCCCACAGTGGTGAGACGGGCAACTGCGTCACAGCTTCTGGATAAGCTAAAAACGCCAAACCAGGACCTGTGTAAGCCATGAGAAAAACAACAGTTATATTAACACTTTAAGAGAAATATCCATACTTCAACCGATACAAACATGTAAAATGCAATATTCTAATTATGCAAAAATGAACGGATTACCTGATGCAGCTACATCAGCTATTGGTCTCTTTGTCACATGTGCCATGAAGCCCACAACAGAGAAAATCACAAATCCAGCAAACATACTAGTGAATGAATTTATACAGCACACGATGATAGAATCCCTGCAGAAAAAAAGAGGGGAAAAAAGGATTCTGTCTTCAAATGTGCTATAAACGTCTTTGTCTGATCTGAAAGCTGCATATCATTTTAGCATTTCAGGAGAAGATGTAAGGATTATGTAAGTGATATAGCCAAACTTAAAAATTTAATTTGATGGTAATTCTCACTATTCATATGCTAAAATGTCAAGTCTGATAATGGGCACATAATCACAGTCAGTCACAGTTAGAGATCTAGCTCGTTCAAGCAAACATCATTCACAGCATTAAAAAAACACTGAAAGAGGGTCGAGTTATCTAACTGATGAAATGTTGATTGCATCATTCATACCTGTACACATTGTTATTGAAAGGGTTGTAGCTGCCCAGAGCAATAAGAGAGCCTAGTCCCAAACCATAGGAGAAGAAAATCTGTGTTGCAGCATCCAGCCAAACCTGAGATGGAAAATGAAACTGTTTAGCAGCTAGATTGGGTTTGTTTGATCCTGCTTAAATTATTAAACATGTAAAATCACCTCAGACTGCTTCAGCTTCTCAAAATCAGGAGTGACATAGAACATGATTCCATCTTTAGCCCCAGGCAGGGTCACTCCACGGATAAACAAAATGAACAACATGAAGTATGGGTAGGTGGCAGAGAAGTAAACAACCTGCAAAACATTGATTTCTCTATCAGACATTTCCCCATGTGCATTTTTCAGCGTGTATGTTCGTGTCTGTTAAAAAATGCTGGAAATTGCTTTCATGGGACAAGAAACCCATAGAGCATTTTTGCCTACTCCCACAAAGTTGATGGCAAGCATGTGTGTTTTACATTCAATGCGGTGAAATCATTACAAACTCACTCAAAATCCAGACCGAACTCTTGAAGACAGACTAACAAAGACATCTCACCTTTCCAGTCCAGCTAACACCTTTCCAGATACAGAAGTACACGAGAACCCAGGCAATGGCCAGTGTTATTGCTAGTGGCACACGAATTTCACCAGGTTTTTCTAAGCCATCAGTCATTTGATGCATATTGCGTCTGTATAAGCACATCATGCAACACAATTACACTTCACAACAAGACACTTACTGGACACATGTATTATGTATTTTCATGTACAAAGGTACAATTTCAATTTGCCCAAAATCTTACTCCCAAAACTCCATGACAGCGCTGGTGAGATTGGTGGTGTCTACTATGCTGTAGTTTGTGTAACATCTGTCTGTGTTCCATGGATTGTTACAAGACTTCCATGGAAGCTCCTACAAAGAGCAGAAGAATGCTTTACTTTTCTTTTTTTAAATACATTCTCCAAATGACTTTTTTTATGGCATGCAAGCGCATGTGACAAGGAATACTTACAGTGGTAAAGGAGTTGTATAAGTAGTACAGGGCCCAGGAAATGATGACAATGTAGTAAATGTTCAGCCAGAATGAGAGAACAGCAGCCGCAAGACCAACACCTGTAGTTATGACATTGTGTTATAATTTACATTCATTCCTTCAAAGCAGCATGTGAACCGCCTGGTCAAAACGTCCTTTACGCAGCATTGCATTTTATTACATAATTGGTCTTCAGCTTTGAAGATCAGAGGGTACATTAGATTCTTCAGAACAACATATATCAGTAATAACAAACGTACAACACATAACCCATGCGTTTAAATCCACTCATTAACTTTTGCATTTACTGAAGGTCTCACACAACACCAACATTGCATACTTCTAGAAACCAACTCGTATTTGTTCTGCAGTAAGTATGGGAGCAGATAAGAAAGAAAGGTGCTGAACAGAAATCATATACCTTTGAACATTGGAGCTAGTTTCCAAACCCCAAGGCCGCCAATGGATGTGTACTGTCCAAGAGCGCATTCAAGAAAAAACAGAGGAACTCCCGCAAAAATAAGCGTCAAAAAATAAGGAATCAAGAAAGCCCCTGGAATCACAGAAATAGATGAAAGCACCAAGTGGAGCTGTGCACAGCAACACAAAGCACACATTCATCCAGACACAACATCTCAGACTCTTGGAGAAGCTGAAGCTGCTCTTACCTCCGCCGTTTTTCCCGCACAGATAAGGAAATCTCCACACGTTGCCCAGTCCGATGGCGTAGCCCACACATGACAGAAGAAAATCAAATTTCCCACCCCAAGTTTCTCTGTCTGGAATGTCTTTCTTCTTTTTCTCTGGTTTGGCGTCCTCTGCTTTGGGTTTGTCGTTAGTTGTGATCTCGTTGAGTTCCGTCACAACTTGTCCGTCGGTGCTTTTGGTGTTGTTTGTCGCCATGTCTCTGATTTTAGACAGCAGCAGAGATCCACCACGCAAACACCCGATCAAACCCGACACAGTTTCAGTTAACCTGAAGACAACGAATCACACGAACCCACTGTTTTCCCCCCGTAAAGACACACAAAAAACACTGAGAGAGCTGCCGTCTCTAAATGAGACCGAATTGGCTGTCATGACAGTCAATTTACAGATATAAATCTTTTTTTATTTTATTTTATTTTTTCCATCGAACGATCGGCCAGCTTCTCAGTTATGTTTCGGCAATGTTTTGATGCATTTACTATTGTTATACCCATTTAATTAAATGCATTTAAACACACAGACACGCATGCACACAAACACACTTAAGACCTTTTAATGAAATGACAATCATTTCCAAATTTCTCGTATCTACTTACAGTGAATTTGGCTTCTTTCCCAAAAGCAATATGCCCGTGTGTCATGCAGTGAGGTATCCGTAGATTCCTCTCCAAGTTGTAAACTTCCAGAATGACTTGGCTCGTAAATGAGCCTTCTGTCCATGTAAAGCGGTCCTGCGGGAGCTGTCCACCGGAGAGTGGTGCTGGATCCACCGAGCAACGACTGTCTGAGATCAGCAGCTACTCAACATTTCCAGAGCGTCAATGTCATGTGAAAGTCAACACCCCCCAACGGACACACACACACACACACTTTCAGGTCAGGCACGCAAATCTTTACCTTGCATGTGCATGTGGTTGAATATTTAGGTTTCTTTTTTCTAAAACTGAGCACAATTCTTGGGATGCAGCAGCATATTAAAAACATGGGCTATTTCTTATTTTTCTCTCTCTCTCTCTTTAAATCCTTGAAATCTTGACTTAAAATTCACTTTCATTGATTTACTCACACACGCACACACACATCTGTGGCTATCATTAGGTTAAAATGAACTGGTGCATTCACTGCCCATCCTAAATCCCTCTTCAAACCCAGCCCACTTCAAACCATAACATATACTAAAAATATGGCAGATGAGGAGCAGAACAGGTGAAGCCACTGACACAGCATCAGGTGTGAGCAGGAAATATCACTCCTCATCTGAAACTGAACACTTAAAGAAATAATGCCTCAATAAGAAAAAAACAGAAATTATCTTGGACACTATCTTTATGGGATGCATAATTGGATTGCATAAATGTCCTGGTATACAGCGCAGTCTTGACCTTCTGTTGGAAGTCCATAAATGTGCGGTAAGTAAATTATATATAAAGTATATTTCAGTCCATCAAATGTATGAAAGATATATCATGCACTTACTAGCTAGCTTTTTAATTCCTTCTGAATGACAGAATTGTGAAAGTCTGTTAATACTGGTTAATGAAAAGTTAATGTGGGATTTGGGTCAGAGTGGTATAGATTTCAACTCCTCTCTCAAAGCTTGGATCAGAGTGGAGAACTCAGTTGGAAGCAGATGGTGAACTAATGAGGGGTTGATACTACATTAAATTTAACATTTGCACTCCATCTGGCTGCATCTCCCTTTGGTTATGGGCTGTGAAAACATGACATATTTATGCACCTGCTGTGGACACTTGAGTACTTTTGGCTTGCTGGTGACACCATGTTATGCCCAGATAGGCTCATTTAGAGAGAGATATGTGATAATCAACAGGCTGTCAAAGGCATTCAGATTATTAAAAAAAAAAAAGAACAATAACAGGTCAAAACGTGGTATTTTGGAAACTGTTTGTGTTTGACAGAGTCAGGTTTGTTCAGTCATATAAATTCATATTTGTGACATAAAAAGTAAGAAAGAAAGAAAGAAAGGAAAAAAATAAAGAAAGAAGAGTTAATTTCGATGTTACCAGAAGAAGCAAAACAAACAAGGTCTTAATATGAAAATTATAAACTAAACTATACATTTATACTGTATGATCTATCATATTTATATATGTTTTATTATTGGTTTTACATATAAGAGAATTTAATGTTGCTGGAAAGGAATTCTATTGTGATTTGTATATTTTTTAAAAAGCTTGTGTAAGGAACTTTTACATTTTATTTAATTATTTAGTTATTATTTTCATTTAAGAGTCTGTAAGTTGAAGAAATCTTCATAGGTAGTACAATATGACAACATCTGTTCTAAATTATATGAGAAAGAAACCACTATACAATTTCTCATCAAACTGTGAATCAAATTATGCATATATTTTTAAATGATTTGTCTCATCTACCCCATAACGGCTTGATTTTGTTTTAATGAAATATGCAAATCCTGTCAGCTATAAGAGAGTAATCAATCCTTCTTGTGTCATTACTGTTTAAGAGTGCTTCGTATTCGGTGTCTCTGACTTGTCTTAGCGAACCTTGAAAAAGTGACAATAAATTGTTGGTTACAAGTGCAGAGGATCCAGGTTGTGTGTGAGCACCGCAGACCATTTAGGTGGGCTGTATAAAAATATACATCCCTCAAAGCAGTATGGGGCATCGAAATCGTTTTAAAATTTTTGTTCAAGTGTTGCTAGGCAACAGCAATATGGTCTCAGCCTCCTTGTTATATTAGAGTTTCTGCTGGGGTTTGCTCCCATTCATATCTTCCCTTTTTTGTCTCCTTTCATTAGCAAATATTAAATTTTCATGTTTCAATTTTCCTAGTTTTTTTCTCTGCCTCAAAATTGCACTCGAGTTACACACAGGCCTAAATGTTTAAGCCAGCATTTAAATGGCTTTACAGTTCATTCTTTAAAAAAAGAATATACTTTCCCCTTCCTTGTTATAGAAATTTATGGACACAAATCATTATAGTAAAACACATATAGTGTGTTTAATTATATTAGACAGTCATTCATTTCTAATTAACAACTGAAATGTAGACTTTTGTTTTGAAGCTACAAAACAGTCAAATATATCGTATATAATATATCGATATATAAATATATCACAGAGCATTATGAGCACAGTGTAACACAGAGCGCGTCACATTGTCTGCAGTCTCTCCTCACTACACTGTGCTGCTAATCTACTGCATTTGCCGCAATCACTATGGAAACTGACTTTTGCCACAGAGACTCTACTGAGGCAGGCATGCAGCAAATGCTGTCAGCGATTGTCCACTGACGTATGTTTACATGGAGGTCTGAATCAGTGTTTCTTGCAGACCACAGCAAAATTATAATTTCTCTTCTCTAGTTATAGCTACATGATCAATTGTATAATAAATCCTTCAATATAGTAGTGTGGCATATTTGAAGGATGAAATGATTTCTGTGCAAATTCTAAACAAGATCCACAAAGCAAATTTGACACTGTAGTCCACAGACGAAACAGCAAGAGCTTTGTTATAGAGGTTTGGACAAAAAGAGTACTTAGCGAACACATCAAAACCCTAACCACCTGCCTCTAGCTAAAATGTATGAAAATGCTCTTCATGGTTTTAAAGGGTTTATCCGTTTCAAAGGCGGCTGGCTGATGCATCGCTCTGACCGTGCAGTCCTCCAGCCCCGGAAAGAATGCGCTCAAGCCTTTGGACAAGTTTCTGAGCTCAGCCATCATTCAGGGGACAGTCTTCCCTTTTTTTGGTTTTTACATAAGGCAAATTTACATGTGCTGATGATGTCAGCTCAAATTTGGCACACCACCTCCCCCCTCCAAAAAACATTCACAAAAATGAAGCATTTTCTTCTTGAGCTCAAAGGACAGTGAATCACGTCTGTCAGAGATGCAGTATGAGTGTAATACTGAAGCGTCATTGGCGTGCATTTACGTGTTATTGGTTCATGATTGCAGTGTAATGCAACAAAATGAATGATAGCGCTCCGATTTGTGGAGTAAAAACACAAGGGAAGCAGCCTAAATCTGAAGAGAAAATGATCCTTCCCTCTTTGTGCATGTTGCTGTCATCCCAGATCTTTTCATAAAACCGCCACGAGCGTGCCTCGCATTTGAATTAGGCTGATGAGTGGAATCTGTGCCCACAGAGAGGCCGGCGGCACTTTCCAGCGTCACATGATGCTTAATTAGGGATTCTTCTATATTATAGGGCTGGAATTCTGCCAAATGTCTATCAGTTGTTTCAGTCAATGCACTAATCATTGCGCTCGCTGCCTCCTGAGGTGCATCGGGTTGTGTTCTCTCCTCTGGCTTCTCAGAAAGAAAAAAATTAATAAATAAAAAATAAACAGTTGAGGTTGTGTCGAAACAGCCTGTGAAGGTAAGTTTAATTTTAGATCTAGAGCTTCACTTTGATGATTATTTGAATATTTGGATATGAATCTCTCGTTCTTCGGTAAACATATGGCTATAGTAAGCAGCAACAGCATCCTGCTGTTTAAAATATAGTGTAAACAAACCACAGTTTAGAGAGCTGGTTGCACTTCTCACTCATCAGGCAAGGAGGTAATAGGGTAATGGTAATTACCCTAAACATACATTATAGGGGTAATGGCATGCATTGAGAAGAATTTATTTTTTTAATGAGAAAAATTGCATTTTAAAGGATTCTACAGTCATTATTATCTGAACCACTATAGTTTTAATCTGATCTGTGTTTCAAAATATCTCAACGTACAAACTGTACAAAGAACCTGTGGCATTTAGAGTCAATGGTGCGATGTGATGTGGCATGGTAAGTTGTAATCTGTCTTCATGCATAAAGCATAAAGTCATTGTGTCACTGCCTCTGCCGTTAGACGCTCTGGTTCCTGTCAACCTTTATCCTACACCCCATGACCTTTGCACAAATTATGGGAGTAACTTCAGTTAAACTGTAAACAATCAATGAAAGGTTCATTCTATGAACTCAAAATGAAGCATTATCAAAAAATGGGTGCAATGAAGTGATATTATTCAACCATCGAACAATAAAAGGAAATTTAAAAGCATAACAACTTTAGCAAATTACTTTCAACAGACCATGAATAACCCTAAAATCTTGATTATTTCTACAGCAATATTACAGACATATTACGGTAATATATGTCTCTGTCTATAGCCTATATTATGCAAGACGTTGCTTTAATCAAAAAACATTAATTAACTGGAACATTGAGTGATAATTTTTCAAAGTGATTTCTCTCAAATGATTTCCAGGAAGCATTCGTGTAAAAACAAACCTGCAAGAGAAAAACTCTTGAGATTATTAGTGCATTCCAGTGAATTATGAGAGATATTGTATAGTGTAAATTAAATCGGGAGAGCAGACCACACTGTATGTATTTTACCAATACGAAGGAAAAATTTAATTAATCGGGAAGAAAAGAATGCAGTAGACAAAAAGAGCTCTTCTAATGGTATTCCTATACCATGTCACATTAAAGGGGTCATATGATGCGATTTCAATTTTTCCTTTCTCTTTGGAGTGTTACAAGCTCTTGGTGCATAAAGAATATCTATAAAGTTGCAAAGACTAAAGTCTCAAATCCAAAGAGATATTCTTTATAAAAGTT